AGTAGAGACAGGGTTTCACCATGTTGACCAGGATGGTCTCGATCTCTTGACCTCGTGATCCACCCGCCTCGGCCTCCCAAAGTGCTGGGATTACAGGTGTGAGCCACCGCGCCCGGCTGGTTCTGTTTTCTTTATTCCTTTAGCACTCCCCTAGCCTCCCCTTTGTGTTGAAGTGTACCATGTTACCGTATAATTAAAAACAAAGAATAGGTAACATATTGTGCCAGTGTTGAGTGATTTAAACCTGCTAACAGACTTTATCCCCTATTCAGAAAACCTGGGTCTTCGGTGCTTTGCTTAAAGTAGCTGCAGGGACGGAGGTGATGTTTTCTTATTGATGTTTGTATTAGTGGTATAGTTCGTTACCTAATAATGTCCTCATTATCTGGATCTCTTAGGTCTTACCTCTCAACCTCCTCAAGAGCATCAGCCTCTGAGTTATAACACTTTTGTCTCTAAATTAGGGGCAAGATCAGGTCTAAAAGATGTCTCCTTTCAGAAAAGCCAAGATGCTCTTTCCTGAGCATTTTCTTTTGGGTTGTTGATGTACCTGTGGGTCTGTGCTGCTGCTCTAAACAGATGGTTATTTTTGTTTGCTTGGTTGGTTGGGTTTTTGTTTTGTTTTGTTTTTGTTGTTGTTGTTGTTTTTTGAGACAGAGTCTTGCTCTATTGCCCAGGCCAGAGTGCAGTGGTTTGATCACAGCTCACTGTAGCCTCAAACTCCCAGGCTCAAGCAATCCTCCTACCTCACTCAGTCTCCCAAGTAGCTGGGACTACAGGCATGTGTCACCACATGCAGCTAATTTTTTAATGTTTTTATAGAGACAGGGTCTTACTATGTTGCCTAGGCTGGTCTTGAACTCCTGGTCTCAAGTGATCCTCCTCCTCAGCCTCCCAAACTATTGGGATTACAGGCATGAGCCATCACCCCCAGCCTAGCAGATGGTTTGACTGTCTACATGCTCTTTCTTATACAATAAATAGAGGAGTAAAAGGAATTTCCTTTTCCTCTTTAGTACGTATGCAGTGAGATTCCTGTGTCTTACAGCTCTCCCTCTCTGAGCAACACACAGAATCCTGCAACCTTTGCACAGCTGATATTTATCTGATAGCAGTGAAAGGCTTTGTCTTTGGTGACCTTTCCTGAGTTTCCATGCAGAGGAATCACATGATCAAAATAGTTGATGGAGTGGTTGCTTGGGGTACAACAAAAGAAGAAAGAAAAACCAATAGCCACTCTACATTCTGACATGTGAACAGCGGTTTAACTGTCTAAAGTGTTTACCAGATGCTGAAGGCAAGGTAAGAAGCAAAAGCTCTTACATTTGTGGATATCGTAAACTCTGTTAGAAAGCAGCCTTTGGAAAATCCCTGATCTGGTTCTGCTTTCTGACCTACCTCTACCTTTTCAGGGTAATCTGGTGGCACAGGTGGTGGCATTAAGAAGTTTTGCGTTTTATTCCTGCTCCTTCCTGCTGTGAGCCCTGCGCTATCTTCCATGCAGTTGTGCCCTCTCTCCTGTTTGGTCTCTGTGTTCTTTGTTACCTGGGTGTAATAGCAACTTTCCTACTCCATGCATTCTATCTTTCACATTGTGTAAATTTCTTCCCTTTTTTTCTCTGAGGGTGTAGAGTATGGGGAAAGTCAGTACGATTATATTTTAATGTAGAAAATGTGACTTCTGGATATAAAATGAAAATACATGTTGGCCAGGCGCGGTAGCTGTAATCCCAGCACTTTGGGAAGCTGAGGCAGGCAGATCACGAGGTCAGGAGTTCAAGACCAGCCTGGCCAACATAGTGAAACCCCATCTCTATTAAAAATACAAAAATTAGCTGGGCGTGGTGGTGTGCGCCTGCAGTCCTAGCTACTCAAGAGGCTGAGGCAGGACAATTGCTTGAACCCGGGAGGTGGAGGTTGCAGTGAGCTAAGATCACAATACCACACTCCAGCTTGGGTGACAGAGCAATACTCTGTCTTGGAAAAAACAAAAAGAAAAGCCACGAAACACCTGTGGCTGCCAGGAGCTAGGAGTGAGGCCTGGAGAAGAGCTCCTTCCATTGCCTCTTCAGGGGGAGTGTGGCCCTGTGGACACCTTGATTTCAGATTCAGGCACCCTGAGTGTGAGACAGTACACATTTCTGTTGTTTTAGGCCACCCAGTTCACGGTACTTTGTTATGGCAGTCCTAGACAACTCATTCAGACCCTCAGGGAAATAAGAGCTATTTGGAATGTGTAGCTGAGACTGCTAGGTATTCACCAAAAGGCTTTCCATTCTACCTTTTTACCTAAGTAGAATGGAAGCCAGGCACAGGGCTGCCCCACTAGACCTTCTTTGTCAGCCTTGCTTGTGTTTAGGGTGGCCAAGTATCTGAATTCTCACTAGGGGAATCAATGGGAATGACGTGCCATTTCTGGGTCTGGGTTCAAAGCTAACCAGCAAGCCTCCTCCACTGTCTTCTCCTTTCCCACCAGCTAGAACCCAGCTGCACCCATGCAGAAGAGAACACTGCCCTGGGGAAGAATGAGTGACAAAGAACCAAAGCTACCCTGCTGCCCTGGGCCACTCACCTCAAGTGTAAATAGGCTACTCTAGTTTGCCTTTTTATTACAGGAGCTTAGCTTTTCCTCCAACCTATCCATGATTCTTGAGCTGGACAGGCAGCAAGGCACTGAGAATTCTAATTGTCTTCTAGAATAGGAACGAGCAGGCCCTTGGAAGACAGTGGCGAAGCAAATAATCTTGTTTGGTCATTTGGGACTTTGGACATGCTGAAGCTAAAATTCTCAGCCACCTAAAAGGGAGATGAAAGATGTGGAAACCAGAAGGGTGGCTGCTTCTGAAAGCATCAGCTAACTTAATTTAGGAAAATGACAAGCTCATGTCTGGAGATGTTTGCCACAAGGGACAAGGTGAAACTCAGGACTTTTCTCTGGCCAGATGGAAACTGTTCACTGAGGCCATGGGTTTAAATTGCTGAAGCCAAACTCAGATTTGGGGAGTTGCTGAATTTCAGTGTCAGCCAACAGCATGACTTTGCCAGCTTTCCTTTAGGAAAGGATGATGCCATCTGGAGGTTGCAGAGGACTTGGAGAATCCCTACCCACTAACCATCTTCGTCTGCAGCCTTTCCCCTTCACCTCCCTCTCAAGGAGGAGGAAGCTAACACTCTTCCTTCTGCCCCACACCTCCCTGTTTCTCAGCTGGGAACTAACTCTATCTGGAGCAGACAAATTGTTCTCACGGCAATGTCCTACATTTATTTATCTACCTATTTGATTTGTTTTTTTAGAGACAGGGTCTCACACTGTTGCCCAGGCTGGAGTATGGTGGTGCAGTCATAGCTCACTGCAGCCTTGAACTCCTGGGCTTAAGCGATCTTCCAGCTTTGGCCTCCTAAAGTGCTGGGATTACAGTTGTGAGCCACCATGCCCAACTCTACATTTATTTTTTATTTGGATTTGCTTTCCTTGCCCTTCATTCCTCTACCAGCATGACAGCCTGCAGGCTTATAGAAGCTTTTACACAGTCATGGTATGTCACACGATGTTCCCTCTTATCAAGGAATTCACTTCATGGCAAAAGTGGCAGTGGGTTAAGGCCTGTGGGAGTCACTCCACACCTAATAGACCCCAACCATGACCCAGGAGCGGCTGGCTCCTATGGCATAGTAGAAGGCCTTGTGGAGGCTCACAGTGCCCACAGGAAGATAACTGCTTGGTCCCCTCTGGAAGGGATCAGTGCTGTGAGTCAGCTTCCATATGTGATACCATTTCCTTGTGTCCCTCTATCACTTTTCAAGATGTAGCAGTGAGGCAGGCACGGCTAAGTGTCTCCCAATAACCTTTCTTAATGGAAGTAGTGGAATTTAGACCTGGATGTGTATCCACCCAGAATCAAGATACCATTTTCCAGTCTCCTTTGCAGCTAGGCACAGCTATAAGATACATTTTTTTTTCTTTTGAGACAGAACTTTGCTCTTACTGCCCAGGCTGGAGTGCAATGGCACGATCTCGGCTCTCTGCAACCTCCGCTTCCCAGGTTCAAACGATTCTCCTGCCTTGGAATAATCCTCCTGAGTAGCTAGAATTACAGACATGCACCACTACATCTGGCTCATTTTTTTTTTTTTTTTTTTTTT